TCATTTGTGTATGTGTGTGTTTACGGATCTATATTTTCATTTCTCTTGGCTTGGTTATATATACCTAGGAGTTAAATTGTCTAGTCATATGGTAACTTCTTGTTTAATCTTTTGAGGCACTGCCGAACTGTTTTCTAAAGTGGCTGTACCATTTTATATTCCTACCAGGAGGGTATGAGGATTTTTTTTTTTTTAAGATTTATTTATTCATGAGAGAGAGAGGCAGAGACACAGGCAGAGGGAGTAGCAGGCTCCTCATTGGGAGCCCGATGTGGGACTTGATCCCTGGATGTCCTGGGATCACGCCCTGAGCCAAAGGCAGGTGCTCAACTGCTGAGCCACCCAGGCCCCCGGGGTATGAGGATTCTAATTCTTCCATATCCTTGATAATACTTGTTACTGTGCTTTATTTTAGCCATCTTGGTGGATAGGAAGTAGTATCTCACTGTGGTTTTGTTTTCTTTCTGATGGTGAATGATGTTGAGCATCTTTTCCCGTGCTTTTTGCCTGTTTGTATATCTTCTTTGGAGAAGGGTCTATTCAGATCCTTTACCCATTGTTTTCAAGTAGACTTTCTGTCCATTGTGGTTTCCAACTGGTAACCTTAGATCAAGAATTGCATGCTCTACCTGCTGATCCATCCAGACACTCCTCCTACACCTGTTTTGATTGATTGATAGATCGATTGATTTTATTTATTTATTAATGAGAGACACAGGCAGAGATGCAGGCAGAGGGAGAAGCAAGCTCCCTGTGGGGAGCCCAATATGGGACTCTGTCCTGGGAATCCGGGATCAGGCCCTGAGCTAAAGGCAGATGGCCAACCGATGAGCCACCTAGGTGTCCCCTATACCCATTTTTAAATTGTGTTATTTGGGGCATCTTGTTGGCTTAGTCAGTGGAGTTGGTTTCAGGATTGTGGGTTTAAGCCTCTTGTTGGGTGTAGAGATTACTTAAAAAATACAGTGTTACTTATGTTTTTATTATTGAGATTTAAGGCTCCTTTATTCTAGACAATAAATCTTATATCCTACAGTTTGCAAATAATTTCTCTCATTCTGTGGATGGTCTTTTCACTTCCTTGGTATTTTTCTTTTTGTTTTTTTGAATTGTGGTAAACTACACATAATTTACCACCTTAACCATTTTTAAAAAAAATATTTATTTTTTTTAACCATTTTTTTTTAAGATTTTATTTATTCATGAGAGACACAGAACGAGAGAGAGGCAGAGACACAGGCAGAGGGAGAAGCAGGCTCCATGCCGGGAGCCCGACATGGGACTCCATTCCGGGTTTCCAGGATCACGCCCCAGGTTGAAGGCGACGCCAAACTGCTGAGCCACTCAGGCTGCCCACCTTAACCATTTTTAACTGTATAGTTCCATGGCATTCAGTAGTGTCACGTTGTTGTTCAACCATTACCACCATCTATCTCCAGTGTTCTTTTTATCTTGCAAAACTGAAACTCCACCCATTAAACAGTAAGTCTCCATACCTTCCTACCCTCAGCCCCTGGCAACCACCATTCTGCTATTTCTGAATTTGAATATTCTCGGTACCTCACTAGTGGAATCCATTTGTGACTGGCTTTTCACATAGCATAAGGTCTTTAGGCATACTACAGCATGTAACAGAATGTCTTTTTCAAATGCTGAATAATCCGTTGCATGTATATACCACATTTCCATTCATCTGCCAATAGACACCTGGATTGCTTCCAGTTTTTCTACGTGAATAATGCCATGAATATGAATGTAGAAGTGATGGTGGTGGTCTTTGAAATGCGAAGATCCTACTTATTTAATTTCAGTATATAGTGTGAGGTTACGGACTCACTATATTTTATGGACTGGTGGCTCTAAATTTGTCCTCCAGTTGTTCAGTCTGTTTTGGTTATGCCGCTAGGTTGGAACATAAACACTTGTGGTGGGGGAGCCCTTCTTCACCACCATGCTGTCACTCCTACCTCCTACAGGACCCCCAAAGCCCACCCTCCCCCCAACCCCAGAGGATTGAGAACTCTGGAACAAAGACTTGGGCAGTTAATTTTATTTTTGCATCCTGCTCATGTTTCTTTATTCAATGTGATGGCTTCATTCTTTCTCACTTCTCTATCCCCACAGCATAATTTTTTTTTAATTTAATTATTCATAAGAGACACAGAGAGAGAGAGGCAGAGACACAGGCAGAGGGAGAAGCAGGCTCCATACAGGGAGCCCGATGTGGGATTTGATCCTGGGACTCCAGGATCATGCCCTGGGCCAAAGGTAGGCACTAAACCACTGAGCCACCCAGGGATCCCCCACAGCATAATTTCTGTTCAACAGAAAATCCTCCTCAGTATAAGCCTCTTTGGGAATCAGAAGTCACACCTCTGTGGGTACCTTGTCCCCTTTCTCTTCTGAGCCACACTCCAGCAGAATGGTGTGCCAGGAGGGGGATCTTAGTGTTGTACCCCAAGGCACTTTCCCTCCCATTTAAGAAATTTACAAGGTTTGTGTTTTATTTTATTATTATTTTTTTAAGATTTTATTATTCATGAGAGATAGAGAAAGAGAGGCAGAGACACAGGCAGAGGGAGAAGCAGGCTCCATGCAAGGGAGCCCGATGCAGGACTTGATCCTAGGACTCCAGGATCATGTCTTGGGCTGAAGGCGGTGCTAAACTGCTAAGCCACCCGGGCTGTCCAAGAAATTTATAAGATTTAAAACAAAATGACAGAGTGGTGTTCCCAAAGCATGTAGCCTTCACAGTACTTCAAGGAGAAAAATAGATTGTTTTAGGGCCTTTTCTTATTTACCAGACCAATCATTAGATGACAAGCCTTTCCTGGTTTTTCCAGTGTGGACAAGTAAGTTTTGCTCTTCACTAGGAACAAAAACAAAAGTAGCCCAGGACTGTTTTGAAGGATTCCCTCTGGCTTGCGTGTATATAAACTACGCATAATCAGAGATTCTCAGGGTTTCAGTTCCCCTTGCTGTGAAATTAATAGTACCTGAATTCCTAGAACAAAATGCCTAGCATTTTGGGACATCTGGGGTTCCTGGTTTTGCTAATTATGTTTTAAAACTTCGTTCCCATGTTTTTTGGAGGTGGAAAGGTAGAAGGTATTAGCCAGTTTTTAAGTGGTGAGCATTTTTTAGTGAGTTAAAAATACTAAATGTGATTTAACTAAAGATAATTATTGCACCAAATGATGGGCTTGAGTGCTGAGCATGAGAAAATCCTAAACCCAGCTACTTGTTGTTTCTGGAGCCTTGGTGACCACCAGTTCCTATCTGCCTTCTAGGTCCTCTGGTTTCAGGATGATGTGTACTTCACTGCGCCAGCACTCATGCAGCCTGTCCTCTGTAGTTTCCTCTTAGAGAACACAGTGCCCCAGGAGAGCCATGTGGAGGCCAGTGCTCCATAGGGAAACTGGATCTGAGCTTTCTTCCCAGGTCCACAACCCAGTTTGTGAAGGGAGGGCCTTTGGTAGGTAGGTCCCACATCCAGCCACTTTATATACCCACAGACTGTGAATGAAGTTGGAGGCAGTTTAGAGCTTACCATTGCCACTTACTGGCTGGGCCTCTTCAGTGACCACAGTCCCATCACTGCAGTTCAGTATGTTACTGAATTCAGACATGGAGCTCTTAAGAAGTAAACAGCCAGGGTAATGTGAGGCTGTTATGCTTGTTTGCATAGGTGTATCTTGTTCATGAGGTATACTTGTGATTAACGTGGTAGACTGTAGGTGGCCTTGCAAAGTGCCTGGGACAGTACTGTTTGAATTCAGGGGAGGGGGGGCATGTGCAAGTGCCTGGGAGAAAACTTTAGGAAGAAGGTCGAGCCCGCAGGGCTTTAGACGCATGGAGATAATGACCACTCGGCATTATTTTGTATTATTTCAGTTTACACAGTGCTGTCATACTTTCTACCTCAGTTACTTGGACCTTAAGTTCCCCTCTGCATCTTGTCCATAGGTGGCCATAATCCCCATTTCACAGATGAGGAACTGGCCTTGTCATTGACCACTTGACACAGTTTAGATTTGAGTCTAGCTGGGTGAGCCCAAATTTCACTGTTACTTTTCCAGGAAATAACAGTAGAATGAACAAAAAAGCAGAAGAAAGACAAGCTCAGATAGTATGGTGAGTTCTTCAGGATTGTGGAAAGAAGGGTGAAGAGTTAAAGGGATCAGAGGGCCTCATGGTTATAAGGTGTGTTGAGACAAGTTGTCAGAGAGCCCACAGACTGAAACCCTCAGAAGGCTTTGAGTGTGTATATATGTTTAAGAAACCGCTTTTTGAGTTATAACTCACATTAATAAACTGCACATATCTTAAGTACACAATTTGATAAGTTTTGACATGTATATGCACTTGTGAAACCACAGTCAAGATAATGAACATATCTATCACTGAAAAGCTTCCTCATGTCGCCTCAAATGGCTAAAAAACAAAATTTTTATTTGGGAATATTTTCAGAAGATAAGCTTAAAGAAAAATATAAAGAATTTTTATATACCCTTTGTCCAGATTCACCAATTTTTAACACTTGTCACATTTGTTTGCATTTTTTAAAGATTTTATTTATTTATTTGAGAGAGAAGGAGAACACAGAGGGAGAGGGAGAAGCAGATTCCCAACTGAGCAGGGAGCTCAGCGCAGGGCTCCATCTCCATCCCAGGACCTCAAGATCATGACCCAAGCTGAAGGCAGATGCTTAACCAACTGAGCCACCCAGTTTGCATTCTCAGGTATATATGCATGTGGGTGTATAAATTTATACAGATATACATTTTTTTAAAGCATTTTAGTTATTTTTAGTTAAAGAAAAACAGACTTTTCCAAGGGTGACAAAGTGAACTGAAGGTCAGATGGAAGGAAGCAGGGTGTGTGGGCTGTTCAAAGCTCTTGCTCCAAAATCTGGAGGCGAGGAAAGAAGGTCCTCCCAAGAATTCAAGGGTGACTGGCCAGCAGAGGGATGACTTTGATGACTTTGGGGACTGGATCAGTCTAAGTAGGCTCTCAGGTGATTTCCACCTGCTAGTTGGTTGACATGATTAATACTATCACTCTTAGGGGCTATTACATTAAGGAATGACGCAGGAAGCCAAGAGAGTGGCTTATTCAGTTGGATTCTGAATCACAATCAGGAAATAGTCTTTATCTGGTGCAACCATAATTTCATTTTTCTTGGAGCGAATTCGAAGGAAGGTGAGGTCATTCTGGGGGTCAATTTCACGCACGGTGCTCCGGGCCTTCAAGATGAAGTTGTGCATGAGGTTGGCATACTGTGTGGTAGTGGGATTGTCCATGGTGCTCTTGATGGGAATGCCTTCTGTGTTCACCACGATGATGCCCTGTACTCCCTTCTGGCTCTGAAGTCGCTTCAGTGTCTCCTCCACCTCTGCCATTTCCAACCGATCCCGTAGCTCCGCAACGCCGGCGCTCAGTCCAGGCCTGGGACCTTTCCGCGCCTGCGCACAGCACCTGTCTCCAGATATACATTTGTACACACAAATTTTTCCCTGACTCATTTAGGAGTAGTTTATATAAATGGTGTAGCTTCATCCCTTAATGTTTCAGTATGTATTACCAAAGAATAAGAGTAGACTCTTATGTGTCCATGGTACAGCTATCACATTCAGGAAATTTACCACCTTTTTTATTTACCACCTGTTTTATTTAAGTTTTAAGTTTTTATCCATTTTTAAATTTTGTTCTCTTTAGATTGATTTTTTTTAAGATTTTAATGTTTAAAAATGCTCTTTATTTATTTGAGAGGGTGTGAGCTGGCGGAGGGCCAGACGGGGAGGGAGAAGAAGAGGGAAAGAATCCCCAGCAGACTCCCCACTGAGTGGAGTCCCTGGCAGGGCAGATCTCAGGACCCTAGGTGGAACCAAGAGTCAGACTAACAGGATGGCTACCAAGCCATCCAGGCACCCCTCTATTTCTTTTTTTAAAGTAATCTCTACCCTTAATGTGAAGTATAAACTCATAACCCTGAGGATCATGAGGCACATGCTCTGCTAACTACGCCAGTCAGGTGCCCCCCAAATTTATTGTTACTACAGTGCTTTTCATTCAGGTTTTTATTCCGTGTTCCAGTTGTGTCAGCTTCCCAGTAGAGTCCTTACTCTAGTTGCTTTCTTTTTCTCCTGGTACAGGATCCAATGCAGGGTTGCACAATGCATTTAAGCATTACCTTTCTTCAGTCCTCTTTGATTTGAACTGTTCCTTAGTTTCATCTCTTATGCAGTTGACAGCTGAAAGAACACAGAGCAGTTAGTTTAAAGAGTGAGATTTTTGAGCAGGTGGTTGAAATGATCCCTCTGGGTCCAGGGAAGATGACAAGGGTCTGGATAGGTGGGGGTGGTAGAGAGAGGGTCTGGGGTAACAGCCTTGTTACTGAGATTCTGAGGGGCCTAGTTTAGGGTGGAGGAAGTGCTGATAAAATTGCTTGGCTGGGGTGGAACTGGGGAAGAGCAGAGGAGATTTTAGAGTTCTAGTAATTTTCACGATTTAGCAAATTGAAGAAGTAAAGAGGAGGTAGGAGTAAAGAAAAATTGGGCAAGGATAGGTTTATGGCCCCAAGTCTGTGTGTCTCTCTCTCTCTCTCTCTCTCTCTCTCTCTCTCTCTCTCTCTCTCTCACACACACACATACACACACACACACACACACACACACTTCTTAATTCTTGACATCATGACACCTTGGTGGGTGCCAGCTTTGTTTAGAAAGAGGTGAGGGACGCCTGGGTGGCTCAGTGGTTGAGCATAGTCTGCCTTTGGCTCAGGTCCAGATTCCAGGGTCCTGGGATGAGTCCCGCATCAGGTTCCCTGCAGAGAGCCTGCTTCTCCTCTGCCTATATTTCGCCTCTCTCTGTGTGTCTCTCATGAATAAATAAATAAAACCTTAAAAAAAAGAAAGGTGAAATGTTAGGTGTTTTGGATCTTCTGGCCAGATAAGAGAAGTTTGTTGCATGAAGGGCAATTGCCAATGAAGTCTCTCTTAGATACGCATTGATAGCTGGTAGTCCTTCAGTTTCAGATGGAAGGAAGTTGGTTCTCTCGCTGTAAGGAATCCAGGCTAATGTCATCTTGGGCGGCGGAGTTTGGCTACCTAGTTTTAGGGAAGTTCCTGGGCCCATTGCAGTGAAACTAGACATCTTTCCACAACTCAGAGAGCACACACTTGGAAGGGAGAGAAGTGTAGATGAAGTTTACAACTTTGTTATATAGCCCATTTTTCATTTCTTACTGTATTTAAGAGTCTACTAAGTGGAAGGAGTTACCTCTGGGTCTTCTATATAGTTAAGAAAATTTGGGAATCTCAACTGACGTGGAAGGCACTTGCCTGACTCAGTTGGTAGAGCATGTGACTTGATATTGGGGTTATGAGTTAAAGCCCCATGTTGGGTGTAGAGATTACTTAAAAACACAGAATACATGTATTAAACAGACCTGGACTTATTTTTAGAACCTTGAGACACCAAGAACATTGCAAGGTTTGGCGCAGAAGATCTCTCACTGATAGGACAACTTTAGAAACAGCATTACATTTTTAATTTTATAAAATGTTTATTGCTTTGTATTAAGCCATCATGATCACCTAAGATCAGTGAACTTATTACTTGGTTCCTTTGTTGGGAGTTTGGGAATATCCCAATATTTTAAAGTTTTTACAGTATTTTAAGTAGTGACATTAGTTAAAATATATCCTATTATTACTAGAATGCCTTTGGAGAGGATTTCTCTTTTATTCAATCTTGGTGGAATACAGATGGCCCTTGATATATGATGGTTCAACTTAAACAGTCTCCTAACTTTACAATGGTGCAAAAGTGATACGGTGTAAAAGCAATAACACATTCAGTAGAAACCCTTACTTTGAATTTTGAATTTGGATCCTTTCCCAGCTGGGCAGCAGTGCCTTCCAGTCAGCCACGTGATGATGGGGGAAACAATAGATACACTTATAATCATCGGTACCCATATGACCACTCTGTTTATCACTTTCAGTACAGGGTTCAATAAACTACATGTGATATTCAACACTTCATTTTAAAATATCTTTGTGTTAGGTGATTTCACCTAAATGTAGGCTAATAATGTCTGTGTTCTGAGCACATTTAAGGCAGGCTAAGCTAAGCTGTGGTGCTCAGTAGGTTGGGTATATAAATGTATTTTTGACTTAGATATTTTTTTACATACAATGGGTTTATTTTTTTAAAGACTTTATTTTTTAAAAGATTTTATTTATTCATTAGAGACACACACACACACACACACACACAGAGAAGCAGAGACACAGGCAGAGGGAGAAGCACGCTTCATGCGGGGAGCTGACATGGGACTCAATCCGGGGGTCTCCAGGATCAGGCCCTGGGCTGAAAGGTGGCACCAAACCGCTGAGCCACCCGGGCTGCCCAAGATTTTATTTATTAAAAAAAGATTTTATTTCTTTATTCATGAGATACACACACACACACACACACACAGAGTGAGAGAAAGAGAGGCAGAGACACGGGCAGAGGGAGAAGCAGGCTCCATGCAGAGAGCCTGATGTGGGACTTGATGTGGGTACTCGATCCTGGGTCTCCAGGATCACACCCTGGGCCAAAGGCGGTGCTAAACTGCTGAGCCACTTGGGCTGCCCTATCCTAATGGGTTTAATCAGGATGTAACCCTATCATAAGTTGGGGAAGACCTGTGTATCATAGAACAGGTATTTTCTAAAATAGAGTGTAGTAAAGATGAAAAAGTATTTCCACCCTGATCCGAGGTGCCCTCATTTACACTCTCTTGTTTCAGTTTTAGCATATATAAATAGAGCTGATAATCCGTGCTATCCTGGAGAGCTTTTAAAAGTGTACATGCTAAGGCATGTATGTCTTCAAGTGGCAAGAGGGGAAGGTTGCTATCCATATGATGTACATACCACATTCTCCTTTAATTTGCACCTAAAATATTTTAAACAGGCAGTCGCCTTATGTAGAATATAACCACTGTCTCCACTTTTGTGGAAAATTAGACTTTCCTTTTTAAGTAGGCTTCACATCCAGTGTGGCCTTGAACTCATGACCTCGAGATCAAGAGTTGGCGTGTTCCCACCTCCTGAGCCAGCCAGGCACTCTGGAATTTAGACTTTTTAGTTAGGTCTAAGCTAATAGAGATTTAAGTATTAAAATGTTTTATAGAATTTTCTTTTGGGGTACCTATGTGTTGTCTGCTCTTCTTTAGTGTTAATGGTGGGAAACTGGACACCTATTGAGCAATAGTCATAATTTGCAGGGTTTATTGGAAAAGTAATCTGTTAGCAGTGGAGACCACAAATAATATAAATTGTTGATACTGTATTTTACTTGAGTGGGAAGGAGATCATCCCTTGAGTTAGTTTTTGGATTACACGTTGCATACTTAACCCTTCAAGTAATATAATTTGTGCCATGTCAGATTAGCTCTAGGTCATAATAAATAGTTCATCAATATATGTATGCTATTTGTGGTAATGTTTTTATTTCCTTTTTTTGTTTGAATCCAGATTAACGTTCTATTTTATGTTTCTTTCAATTCAGTGTGGTAATTCTGTTGCATTAGAGCTTTAAGCAGTTCTATCTTTACTAACAATCCACTTAATCACAATAGTGTTTTCATGATTTCTGCTGACAAGTTTATGCACTCAAAACTTTATATATTACTAGACTTTTTGTTACTTGCCATGTAGCATTTGAAACCAGGTTTTATAATTGGTTGGCAAAGAGCTTTAGAATATACACACAAATGTTTAATGTTGAAACTGGTATTATTTGGGTACCTGGGTGACTCAGTGGTTGAGTGTCTGCTTTCAGCTCAGGTCATGATGCTGGGGTCCTGGGATCGAGTCCTGCATCAGGCTCCCCGCGGGGGGCCTGCTTCTCCCTCTGCCTTTGTCTCTGCCTCTCTCTCTGTGTCTCTTATGAAGAAATAAATAAAATTAAAAAAATTATATTGTTAAATTTTCTACCTAAGGGATTGCCAGAAATATTGTTATATACGTAAAAAACTATGCATAACTCTCAATGAGACCATTATTTCCATTACTGTAACAATCTCATTGAAAGTTGTAACCACATATTCTTCTACATGTTTACAAAAAAGTACTAGATTGGGAGCGTGGGTAATTCTGTTCAGTTTCAAAATTTCCAGAAAATAATTCAGAGTAGAGTAACTAAATTCATATATAGCGTGCTCTTGACATTTGCCTGTCTGACCACCATTTACTTTATGATGAGATGGTTAGCTACTCTGACCCTGTGACTCCCACCACCCCCGTCAACTGCCCCCCCCAGCAGAGTGCCATTCTCATAATATAGCGTGAATCAGAACTGTAAGTTCTTTTTTTTTTTTAAGATTTTATTTATTTATTCATGAGAGAAACTGAGAGAGAGAGAGATGCACAGACACAGACAGAGGGAGAAGCAGGCTCCATGCAG